TTTTTACTTTTTTATTTTTATATTATAAAATATTCAGTAATTTATTATTATTATTATTATTATTTATATTATTATTATTAGTTATATTAGTTATAATTCTAGTCGGGCTTGTAATAATTCTAATCCGGCTTTTTATAATTTTGACCTAGTGATCTGGTCAATTTCAGCTTTCATCCCGGCATCAATTAATTATAGTCAAATCCAAATATATTGGAGTACAGTACTTGGAAATATTCTTAAAAATAAAAAACCTATTATCCAGGCTTGGTTATATCATTTTTTAATTTAAAATTGACCATGCTAGCATAGACAACCTATTATGTTACAATTGAGTATCTATTACGATATTTTTATATCTCTATCAATATATGAATGCTTAAGTTTTAATTATACAATGAATTAAAAAAATATATTAATCAGAATACAAGAGAAAAGGTATATTTAATGGGTAATGGATATTCGGAATTTGGGATTCTTCTCGAGACGTTTGGATGCATTTTATTACAATTACATCATCGAACTTAGATGCATGAACATATGCGATTAATCGTTAGATGTTTTTTTGAAAAAACCTAAATCAGAGAAATATATGTACTATATCTGTATACACACCAATTGTTTTTATCAGCCACCTTGGATATATTTTCAGTGTTCTCACTTGCCGCTTTAATGGACCACTTCTTCGCCTCGGTTTTGTCCTTTTCTGTTCCAATTCCACGAGAATAACATTTTTCGACGGCTATTATTGCCGGAAAGTATCCTTTATTAGCGGCTTCTAAATAAAGACAAAAGGTCTCGCGCAAATCTTTAGGTACACAAGTTCCTTTTTTATAACATCTAGCCAATGCCACTTTTCCTGCTAGTGATTCACATGCAGCCGACTTTTTAAAATGCTCGAACGCTTTTTTGTAAAAATAAATTCTTTGTTATTTTATTTTTATTTTTATTATTTTTATAATCATGTTTATGAATCAAGATTATTTTTAATATTAATTGATTCTTTAAAAAAAAAAAAAATTATATAAAAATTATATAATATAATTTATTAGATTAGATTATACTTAGTCTAAAAAATTATATGATCATTAATTATTTGTTTAAAAAAAATCAATTAAAAAAATATATCAAATTTATAAAATAAATATTAATTAAAAATTAATATACAAAATTAATTGATATATAATTTAAATATAATAAAAACAAAATATAAAAAAACAAATACAAAAAATAAAATTAATAAAATAATTATATGTATTATATAAAACAACTAAAATCTTTATTTATATACTATGTATTTTATTTAATAATATATTATTTTATAAAAAAAATATTTTTTTTATTTGTAATTAATTTATTAAATATAACAACAAATTTTGTTATAATCTGTTAAATTATTTTAGAATAACTTGAATTTAAATATAACTAATCAAAAAAAATCCTATATCTTAAAATTTTGACAAAACTTATTGTTATTACATTTATATTAATTGAAAAAATAATTAAAAATACAATTTAAATTTATTAAAGTTTAATAAAAATCAAAAAACAATAACATATTTTCAATTTATGATTTGACCTTTTAATTATTATATGCGTACTGAATGCTTTTCTTGATTTTGTTCACTTATACGTAGAAAAATAATTAAAACACATGTATTGGCGATCGTCGTATATATAGCACTTACCTTATACATCACTGTATTTTTCTCAACACCGACTTCCCACGGCGAGTTTGACTCCTTAAAAGATTTTTTACGAAACGAACCACTCAATAAAATTTCTCTTTCTAGAGCTTTTCATGAACTATAGACGCATAGTGGTATACAATCTGAAGAAAGTGACTAACTGTAAAAGAGTTGACAACAAAAAACCTTGATAACGATAGAAGGCAATATCTTACAACATTACAAGATATCGACAAGGTATATGTCATTCATTAATATATGTTATTTTTGTTTATATGATGATAGAGACATCTCGTTAGTCCGTTAATCACTTGCGAGAAGCTTCAGCATTGTGCACGGAATATAAAGAGGATCCGTAAGCGATGGTGACTGGCCATAAACCATTTGCGAGAAGTTTCAGCTTTGTATTACTTAATGCAATGAGGATTTGTAAGCGGTGAGATACTAATTGGCTAACGAGAATGCAGTAACAGTGATGCCGGCTCACTGAATAATCGACCTGATATACACTGATTTATTGTATTGTAACCTTTTATTTTCGAGCATTCAGTAACGTAAATATTGTTTTTTTTGCAGATACAATATATATGGAAATAATTAAAATTATTAGTAGATGCAGACATAATTCGGTAAATGTTTTCTGAAGTAAAATAAAAAGAAATATTCTATCTTAAAAGATTCGAGACTGATGAACCTCCGAATTGGAAAGATCATGCTATATCTAATATTAATAATTTAAAGGATAGACTATAGGCATTTTGGGCGCATATTTATGTTGTCAGGAACCATATACAACCAGTCATATTACCAATTCCAAATTGTCAGAAAGCAAACACATCGATACACGAACGTTTTCTTGAGGAGATGCAAGCCGTGGATATTAACGATTTAACCTATGATGATCCATTGGCCAACGGCATAATTGATCTCGGATCTTCTCAATATCAATTAATGGAAGATGACTACGCTGTTCTTGTGGTGAGTAATTTATATTCTCACAAGGATTATATTGATCGTAAGTCATATTTGGGACTTGTGTATGCAGGGTGAGAAAGGTGGCATAAGGAACTTAGAAAAAGGTGCATTGATAAAGGGAGCTTTGTCATAAAAGAAATGAAATCCAGAATCAGTGCAGATTCATCGTTGCGCCTTCAGAAACGAGAAGACATAAGGACTTGATTGAGGGTAAAACAGTGGGGCGCAAATGGCGATAAATATAACAGATACGCTTCTGCAAGAAACAAAAAGGAATGCTCTTCGTAAACTTTCCAAGTCTTCAGAGAATGCACTTGTAGACATTATAACACATCTTGTAGAGATGTTGATATATCAAATGCCAGTTGACTTTGGTATCGAAGTAACGAGAAACGATCGTTAAAGTGTCATCAGCAAAAAACGAAAAAATCGACAAGTGGCTGGCTAAAGAGGCAACAAATCAGACTTAATGATTCACACATTTTTTAGACAAAAATGGAATGAACTCACATATGTCAAAAGTGGGAAGTGGAAATCGACAAAAACAAAAACCCTTGATAGTTATAACAAGCTAGCATGTTTAAGCTTAAACAGATGGTTAACAAATAAATTAGGATAAAAAAAATAATCAATTTCTAAAAAATATAAGATCTGTTCTGGTAATTCTGGTAAATAAAAAATATTTAGACCTTTTGGATTATTACTTTGCAATAATTATGTCATTCTCAAAATATATAGTGTATAACAAAATTTTTTGAAATTTTATTTATATAATATAATGTAAATAACTCTTTTGGTCTTTACCTTAGGAAGGTTTTTAACTCTGGCTGTATTGATGGCTGCCCATGTCTTGTTTCAAAGTTCATTTGGAGAGATACTATCAGTATTCATGTTTTTGTTTTGTTGTTGGATGTGATGAAAATCTTTTTGAAAATCTTTTCATTGCTTTGCTATTGCCCCTATTGTGATATATCTGATTTTTTTGTGTTTGTTTATGGCTGCTTTGGGTATTACAAAAAGATTTGGAATCAAGATGGTTAATTGGATGATTGCATAATTACTGTTTGTTACTATTGCTCCAGAGCAGATTTTGGCTGTTGTGAGATACCAGTCAATATAGTTGGATATCCAAATATAATTTAGTCTTGATATTGCATTTTTAGAATTTTTCCATGTGAATTCAGGATTGAATAGATTTAGGGTTTTGGAGCAATCAATATAGTTCAAGTTTTATAGAACTCAAAGTGTTGTTAAGGTAGATAGTTAGGAATTGTACCTTCTGTTTCCTGCTAATTGTTGATCTATTTGTGGATTCACTATTAAGTTAAAGTCATTCAGAATAATTGTTTTCCAGTCTTTGTTATGTCTTCTTAGAATTTTGTTTTCTATTCATTTGTTTACATTCTTTTTTTCCTAACTATTTCCAATAAACATATATATTTCTATAATGCTAATATGTTCTTTCCCTTTGAACTACAGATTTGTACTTATTTCTCTACCTGGATATTTAATAATTTTTCTCATATGTCTGTTGATTTCTTTTTGATAAATAGTGCAATTCCTGCTTCTTTATTGTTATTGTTTTAAAATATATTGGATGTTGGATGCTTCTAATACTTGTGATTTTTGCTTTGTACTTGTGTTTCTGTTAGAAGAGCTATGTTTATATCTTTAAGTGTACAGTATGTAAATATTGTTTGTTATTTGATGTGGTTATTAAGACCTCTAATATTATGTATTAAAAGTTTCCATGAAACTAATTAAAATATTATAGGAATTAATAATTATTTAGGCACAATAATTTATAAAATTATTTTAACCTTTTTCTGCATTAGAATTAATATGTAATTATGGATCTTTAAATAGATATACTTTGAAAACCTTTGAAAGTTTTTATAAAACTTTTGTTAAATAATAATATCAATTGAGTAATAAAAAAAATATTGAAATTCAATTAATATAACAATAAGTAATATATCTTATTTATATTTAAACTTTTAACTAATATATAAATTTTTATATTAATAGATATAAAAAAATGCAATAATAAATAAAAATTTATTATAATTTAAAGAGTAAGCAAAAACTTACAAATATACAAATTTTCAAACAAATTTCAAAATTTAAATCAAAAAATTTAAGTAAATCAATTTGTGAAATTCTTTAAAATAATTTAAAAATTAATAAAAAAATAAAAAATAGATTTGAAAATCTTGAAAAAAGTTTAAAAACATATTTAAAATTATTTAATTTATCTATAGATAATTAATTTTTTATTAACAATATTTGGATCTGTAATTTTAAAAAATGAAGCAATAATGCATGTAACAAATAAGTATTACAACAAATTATGATTTTGTTATATAGCAATTATAATAAATTCTGAAGAACTATTTAACTATACAATAGATAAGGGAATATGTTATACACAGATAATAATTGATAATTACTTATTAAATTGTAAAATACACTATATACAGTACTTATAAATATTTTTTATTAAGTTTTAATGATTTTGCAAATTGATAGAGTACTTCGCAAAGATCTATTAAAATTAGCATTAATACAATAGTATGATTTTATATCTGAAAAAATATTATATAAATATATATATATTCAATTAACTGAAATATATAACATAGTAAATATAGAAGCAATTTATAATATTGTTTATATAATATAATAAATTTATTTTTTAATAAAATTTTTAATTTTTTTTTAAAGAATTTTATAGTACTATATAATATTATAAAATTTCAAAAAACTTTAAATACATATTATAAAATTTCAAAAAACTTTAAATACATATAAAATTTGAAAAAAGATAATAATTTACAAAGCATTTTAAACATTATATACAATGTGTAACAAAAATAATTGGACTGACATTTTTTATTATAATTCAATAAATAATAATTTAATTGAGATAAAACTTTAAATATATATTTTTTATAACCTAATAAATAAAATATTAAAGTTTTATTAATGCTTAATTAATGAATTTATTTAAAAATATTGATTTGAATTCAAAAAATTTTTTTCAAAAAATGTATTATAAAATTTATATATAAATTTA